ACTGGTTCTACCATGAAAAGGGTCAACACAACTCACCCAAATGCTCCTCTCCAGACACAAGCCCAGCAGAACTCAGCTGAATGCTCTCTGTCACAATTACAGAAGAGACTGAGGTGACGTTTAGCAGCAAATGGGTGCCAACAACTAAAGGACAGTTATTTTCCCTGCTGGGAAATGCAGGCAAATCAGAGCCTCTCCTTACCTCTTCCTTCTGGTGCCTGCTGTATCCTCTGACAGCCACAGTGTAAGGACAAAACCTGGTCAAGACCACCAGTTAGAAGAGAATCATCTTCCAGAAACCCCATTTGAAGCTGGACTTTGAAGCTAGACTCCGGGCTGTACCAGCTTTCAGATGAGATGAGGCAGATTCTTCTCGCAGGATTTACACTCACATATTGTGTGGGAGCATGGACTTGTGAAACCCAACAGTTGCTGCTAACCATTGTGCTTTTTATAGAAAAGCTTTTCAAAGAAATATCATGGGAAGTAATTATTACACCATCAGTGTGACCTTTCTTCAGTTACCTTGGCTACACACATGCCAATCCACAGCAGAGAGATACAAGGCTTCACTTCACAACTGCACTGATGCGTGTCCTAAGCCAAGAAGAACTCACCCCCACAAGAGCTTGAGGTGCTCGCTGTCTCCTCACTGGTCTTTGGCTGGGGGAGCACAATGCAAATGTATGGGTGGGCTCCTAAACTATCCACCACCATCATGCAGACCAGGGGCCCCGGGTGTCACACCAGGCACCCTTGCACGTTAAAAATAAACTCTCAGCCCTAATATTCCAGTACTGTCCAAGAGTCAGAAAAGCACAACTGACTCCAAAAAGCTTAACTTTTGCATTGGCTACACTTACAGTCTAGCAGAAGCTTTAATTTTCATTTTCCATGCCTCAGTACATCAGAGAGAAAACAAACTGAAGTTTAAAAACAAAGAAAAACCCACCATCACCAGCTTCCCCTTATTCATCTTACTTCCCCCTTATTCTGTCTTTCCCCTTCCGCAGATCAGTTTCTGTTGTTGTTGGATTTTTTTTTTTCTTCAACAAAATAAACCTTCACAGTCCATCAGTCCCTACAGTATTAGTCTCCAGTGTTACCCTCCCCAAAAACCACACCAAAATCCATATTACTTTTGGCAGCAGCTTGCTTCAGGAATTCCAACCAGTCAGCAAGGCATGACCTCTCATTCCTGGAACCATACGGCCTATCTTTGATCAAGTTGTGTGTTCTCATTTGTCCCACATTCGATCCCTTTAAAATAGTTCCTAGGTGTCTCTTCCTTCCTCCCACCCAACACACAGCAAGTCTAGAACAATCTCACATGCCTAAAAAACCCCACACTAATTTCAGGGAGATTTCCTCTTAAAAAAACAACTTGATGAAACCAGTGATGAACCTTCCGAGGCCATTTCACATTGATTTAAAAAAGGCAGGGAGTCTTCTGAAACTAAAAAGAGGGATATTGCCACATTTAAACTAGACACACCATAGGTTGTGGAACATGAATTAAAAACCAAGCTATCCCATAAATCTGGCAGCATCCAGCTCTGCATACAATGATAAAGTTATACTTAAAGTCTAAGCAGCTTTGGGAAACAAACATGTAATCAGATAACACCACATCCTTTGCTGCAGCATCTTGTTTAGGACACAAAGCAGCAAATGGAAAACAGTGCAACGTGGTTCCTGCCTCCATGTAGTTAGACAAGGGTTTGTGTTTCCAAATAAAACTAGAAAGTAAAGGCTTCACTAAAATACTGAACAGCCTAAAAGCCTCTTTTGTGATGCATGTTCTATAGACACCATTTATGTCTTCCCCCATCTTCATTGCTGGGAGGGCTGTAAAATCCTATCTTTTCTGCCTCATTGAGTTACCATTTCTTTTCAAATCCTACTGAAAACAGCACTTTCCAGGCTAGTTTCTATCATTCCTAATTTTCTGCTCTCTCATCTATTACAGCCAGCTGGAAACAACTAGAAATCTGATGGTCCCCAAGTCACTCGAGAAGAGAAATCTCATTGAAGAATTCCAGGCAACCCACCTCTGTTCCTGATGGGTGCCAGCCATCACTCAGAAACAAGCTCCATTAGAGGTTTGAGACTTTTTTCCTCCTCCTCACACTAATCAGTTGCTATTTACCTTTGTAAATCATGCATTTTCAAGACTGCTAGACTATAGGTTGCATTTGTACGTTCAGTTACTGTTATTCAGCAGGACTCGATTTTTATACAAAGCATTGACATCGTTCAAGTAGTCAGGATATTCTGCCTGGTGGAAACTGGTTAAATCCTTGATATACTTTCCATCAGTTTTATGTATAACAGTTCTTTAGTATTTATACTGGTTTGGGAGTTAGTCTGAATTTGTCAGTCATTTAAAATACTGAAAAAACTGAGATGATCCTCTCTATAGTGATTGTAAAGCATCAAGAGTCTCTTGTCAATGACAAAGTCTGCCTGCGCTGCAGGTACTTACACGGAAGCACTTGTCAAAGCGGGATCACACTGCTGAAACACGGCTCGACAAGCAGCCAGCAGAAGGCTGAGGTCAGGCTAGTTACCAGATCCCTCAGGGAAGAACGTGTACAGCTTATTAAAGGCCCAATTGGGCATAAAAGCCAACTGCAGTTCTTTTAGGAGCCAAGTGTCATCTTACCCACTACAAATGCTTGTTTAAACACAAATGCAGTAGTCAATTCTTTACACACACCCCCCCCCATTAAATCAGACTGGTACTAATCCCGTATCTAGACAGGATGAACTTCCGTATTTCTTCCTTCCCCCTTTATTAATAAAAGCAAGGCTTGGCATGTATTTAATTGTAAAATTAGCTTTGCATGAAGTAGGATTCATGCACTTCCTGCTTTGGGAACATTCAGAAAAGCAGAAAGAAAAGGTCTAAGTTTGTTCTGTCCCAGCTCCATCACTCTCAGTGGCAGCTTTCCAGTGTTCACTAGTACAGTCTTCCCCCAGCTACTGCTAGTTCACCACCTGCTTCCACTGCAGGGTGTGCCTGTATCCCAATAACAGTATTTTCCAGGGAATGTAAAAGTAACTATAAGTCTTCTTTGGCAATCAATACAATTATGGCTTCTCTTAGCCTTACCACCTGGTGGGCTCTAGTGGTGTGAAATTGCCCCAAACCAGCCAAGTCTGGTGTTCACAAGCAATGCGCCAAGACGCATTGTAGTCTTACCCCCTGCTCTGGCTGCAGATGGCTGCCTGAAAGTTACTGCCTCCAGTTCTCTTCATGGTCCTTCTGGAGACTAGAACCCCTTCAGACACACAAGCAGAGTCTGGGAGATGCTCTCAAAGACAACCTACCTAGAAGGCAGACCAGCAGCAGTCACAATGGATGCAAGCACAAAGGCCAGTATCCCTCCCCTTCCAGCACCACAACACACAACTGGAGGATGTTCTTTTCCCAGCGCTCCCGAGTGGGGAGATAGGGGGAAAATTCCAAATCTTCTTTTCTAAAACCCAGGACAAAGTATTTATTCAAAAAGTCTCTGGGACACAGAGATGGGAACCCTATTCCAAGACCATTTTAGTCAATCCAGGAGACTCACCTTAACACTTGTCACTTCCTGGCCATGTTCTGCAAGAAAAAAAGTCCATGCACACACTGGAGGCATTGTTACTCAAATGGAAGTTGTCTTCTCTGCAAAGCCAGCTGTGGGGATCAGGCAAGCAGCTGATCATCGGACAAAACAGGGCTATTTTATTAAAAACACCCTGAAATTATAAATTTAGACAACATTCCAAAACCTGCCTTCTTCTAGCCTCTCGTGGCTCTCACAGAAGCCCATGATAAACACCTGGCCCTGGATTTTGGACTGTCACAGGCACATTCACACTGCTGAAGTTTAACAGCATGAAGGTGAAGGAAACCTGGAGAAGTATTTACAGTTTCTCAGCTGTGAATATTCTTCTGCCAGCAGAGCCTCTGCCCTCCAGTCGTGGCCCAGCAATCAAGACTGACAGTTTACACTGCATGTCAGATCCCGCAAATGGACTTACCCAGAAAACTAAATCCTACATGCACTAATATTAATATTGCTAATTTCTTATGACGCTTTGCTGAGAAAAAGACTACATTTGAACAGACTGTTAACACATTATTTGAGCAGTCGAGTATTAAGGTACAAACTGCACATTAAAACCTAGGGCAAAATACTGATTGCCTTGGAATCCAACCTAAACCTGTCTCAAGGGGTTTTCAGGGAGTAGAAAGATAGTTTAATGGGAACATGACTCACTCCACATTTATGAATAGGCAATGAACTTGTGAATACCACATGGTATCACTTAGCAGAACACAAACACAACTGCACTTAGTTACAGCACCACCACTCTCCATTTTAGGAAAGAATAAGGTGCTCCTAAGACACTCTCCAAAAGCCCAGAATACTTTGAAATTCAGTAACAGACACTTAGGAAAGCAGGAATCTGCTTCTCAGGAAGCAATTCAAACAGATTCCTCTTGGAAGAGGCCTTAAGAATATGATTTCTGAAGCAGGTGGAACACAACCCAAATACGACTCTCTGGGGAAACACTAAGCAGCTCTGTTTAGGAAGCAACACGTAAAGCTGAAGAGCTTTGGCTCTTTGGAGTATGCTACCACTGGAACAACTATTTCTGAAGGCAGTAATACTGAAGTACCAAGAAAATACTTTGCTTGTTGAGAGATCACGTGAGATTCCTTTTGCACATATTTCTAGATGCTGCTAAATTACAATCAACTTTGCATTAGAAATAGCAGTCTTTAATAAGAATACTACTCCAAGTATGTTTGTCCTAAATAACACACCATCCATCAGTTCCTTAAAAGCATCTTGTCCTTTACCAATGACAAGTATTCTATAGAAACATTTATGCTTGTGCACATAAAAAGTCTCTGCTGCTTTAGAAGCAGGTCACTCCTAGCCTCCGCGCTTTTGCCCAGAAAGCGGACGCTGTTCGGCATCGTGCTTGTCTCGCTGATTAAGAGCTAAATAGAGGAATCCACAGTAAAGTGCCCATTCTGCGAAAGCGTTCTGCGGTCTGTGGTGTTTAGCTTCACCACCGTGGGGGTGTATTTGGAATTCCTGTAACAGACAAAGCAGAGGATCCTCCGGAAGGTGCTACGCATCTCGTTGTCCCTGTAAGAGTAGACGATAGCGTTTATCAACGAGTTGATCTCTGCCAGCAAAAGGACATATTTCTCCACCGCTAGAACATTGCAGCTCTTGCAGCCCAAGCCATCCAGGAGGAGCACGACTTGTCCTGGGGTCCAGCAGATGACAAAAGCACCTGGGGAGAGAAAAACTGCTGTTAGAGAAAAAGCAGGTTCCTGACCCTGCCCAGTCATTCACCATGAAGACGCTCAATGGAATCACTGGGGTTTTATCTTGGAAAAAAAGCTAAATGGGGGGAAAAATAACTAGCTTCATGCTATTTTTTTGCTTTGGAGGAAGACCAAGGATTAAACCAGCAAATATTAAAGATGGAGGCATTGGCTTCCCCCCTCCCAGTTCACTCAGAACAACACTTCTAAGTACTTTCACTACTTTCACTTACCTCCCCTCATCACCATTGTTGCATTTACAGAGTGAAGATAAAGTGTCCATATTTCCTGTTTATGTGTCACTCCCTCCAAAAAGGGGAACAGGCCATAAAATTAGGGAACAGTGATACATCTTGAACAAAATCTTCTCCACTTCTCCGTACAGTTTATGGGGGCTTTAACAGCACGAGTTTAGAAGAGTCCTGGCCAACACTTTGGGCAGTCCAACGAAGTCTCTCTCACACAGCTATATGCCAAGCAGAAAACAGCCAAACAGAAAATAGCCAAGCAATGTGCTGGCCAAGACAAGGCCTGAGCTGGCCAGACTCCACCACTGATTCAGCTGGGCTGATACTGGGTTCTTGCCATCACCTGCAAAGCTCTTTGGCAAAAGGATAATTGCTGTTTTGCATGAGAGAGTGGGAGGTGCCTGCAGCTCCTAAAACCCTTTTTACAGTCATGATTTTAAGGCTGACATAAATCAAGCACTCGCCTATCAGTGCTCCTGGCGGTCATACATAAGGTTGTATGTACCTTAAAGCACAGGAGCTGCACCCTGCTGCATCTTCTGGGAAAGGGTGGAAAAGAGCAAGACTTGCTGGGAACATTGCAACTACACCCTTTACTGAAAAAACATCTGTCAGGAAAGAACAACAGCCAGAAGAGCTGCACCAACACCGAGAGGCTGAATTTAAAGCTTCCAGAGTGAAATGCTGCACTGGTGAAAAGTCAAAGGAATACTTGGGAGGGATCTCCTGGATTTCTGGGAGTGTTCTCCCCTGATTTCAGGCCACTGCATCATGTAACCCTTTCTACTGAGGTGAGCACAGCAGCCACCACATCTGGGCCAGGCAGCTTTCCCTGCACTTGCAGACATGACTTTGCCCCCTTTAAATTTAGCAACTATACAGAACAGTTTCCTTGCTGTCATGAAAGAAGGTCCAATAATTCTATCTTGAGTGAGCTTGCAGGAAAGGGACCTCCTTGTTTAGTGATGTAACTTTTTCCAGCATCCACAAGGAAAGCCAGATTCTCTAGAGAATGGCTCCCAGCAGCATAAAGTAAAGCCAGAGTAATATTGGGGGGGAGGGTGTAAAAATAAGTATCAAAAAAGTTTGGGGCCTTTGCCTGCATATCCAGCCGATTTCCCTGCTTTTTAATGGAAGATGAAGTATTCCAAAAGAAGCCTGAACTCTTAATAATCTAACACAGCATGGTCACTAATGACTCTGCCCTGTGGTTTGGTCATCACCTCCTGTGTCGCTCAACTGGTCTGTGGGAAGACTTGCTACTAGTTTCCAGATGTACCTTGGACTTACTGGTTTCCAGGTCGGCTCCTAGACCTGTTCTTAACACCCAGGACCTGCAAGATTATCAACCGCAGCAACCTTGCAGTGAAGCGGCATACAGACAGCTCCTACCGCACCCTTTACTTCCTCGCACGCTCACCAGCGGCTACACCCTCTGATGCATAAGGCGCAAAGTATTCCTCTGTGCAGAGTCCAAGTTTGCAGAAGGCTGGGGAACGAGGGTGGAGAAGGAATTACACCAGGGCTTTCACAGGGAGGGAAAACACCCACTGCAGTCTCAGCTTTCTGTGTGCCGAGTCCAAACAGAAAGGTGTTTTCTGAGTGGAGCGATTCCCTCCCTTGTTCTCTCCTGCGCAAGGGACCTGTACAGAACTGACTGCTGCTTCTCTCCAGCGCTGCCCCGCAGAGCAAGGGAAAAACCCTTGGGTTCCAAGAGTCCCAAAGGCCTGATGAACTCCTGAGTCTCCCTCAACTCTCCAGATTAGGTTCCTCCTCAGTCTGTCTGTCCAGAGACACCAGTCCCAACTCCCTGTGAAACCACAGCAGCTCTTCTGAGCCTCCTCTGACCCAAGCTTTTTCCTCACTCAAGGCAGAAGACAAAGGCAGGCCAGCCAAGCCAGGAGGGCAGACACCAAGAGGAAAGGCATCTACCATGACAATGAAAATGCATGAACTGCATTTTCCTTCTTGGCCAGCATCCCCATCCCACCAACCCTCTTGCAGTCAATCTTGTGAGGTCCCATAAAATTAAGCAGTCCTGCTGACACCACAGAGTGACCCTCTGATACTGTTCGGGAAAGAAAGGGGGAAACAAAACTTCTCTCCACTGTGGACTGTGTAAAATACATGAAGTAAATCATTCTTGAGTTCTGCTGACCCTGTGCTGCATCTGATCAGCTCCAAGGCAGTAACGAACTCCCAGCTGCACACAAGAGATGGAGAGATTGTAAGGCAGGGAAGACAACATCACAGGAAAGGCAGGAACCAGCAGAAAACTCCAGTTTCGATGCTCACAAGTTGCAACAGGACCCAGCAAGCCAGCCTGCCCTGGAGCAGGGACACACCAAGCAGCCCGCCAGCCCCCCCCCGACGGCTCCCACCCTGCTCCCCTCCTCTGCCAAGCCCCACTCTGCCAGCGCCAGTTCACAAGGGAGTAGTCTTTGTTTGCAGCTACAAGGTTTCCCTGACGGAGCAAATTCTGTGCTTATCAGGAAAGATTTGCAAGCAAGGGGTTGTGACCGTAAGCCCAGAGTCGGGCTGGATTGCAGCAGATCTGAGCACATTAATTTCTTTCACTTTAAAGAAAGGCTGTTAGACCATGAAAGCAAGAGGTAAAAGCAGATTAAAAAATCATGGAGTGATAGGCTGTTGAAAGCACAATGCACGCACCAGCCTCCGCTGTCAGACATGCAGCACTCAGCAGAAGAGCACATATCTGAATAAAGTTAAATAGTCTGGAGAGGCAGACCCTCAGCACCAACCACTTCCAGTTACTGATCTGCTCCTATTTGCACTACAGACTGCGGATGCAGACAGACTGGCAGGCAGTTAGCACTCTGCTGGAGATCCCGTGCTCATGGAGAGCGGCTCAAACTGGGAGATGAGAGTTTCCGAGAGCAGATTTACCTGAGCAGATTGAGACTCAGTATCTAAAAAATAATCTGAGTTCAGTGCTTTGTTCTAGTAAACAGTAAGGAATTTGGATGCAACTCCCTCATTCTCTCCCCATCACCTTGTAATATCAGCCCCAAACCTCTCCATCCTTTAATGAAGGATGCACCAAGTGCCACTTCTTGATAAAGCCTGATTATAGCTCCTAATTCCACGCTACACTTCTATGGAGGGAGCATACTAGGCTTGAGGACATAAGAGCCTTTTCTTTGCCCAAAGCACCTGCATTTACAGTAGTCAGATACTACCGAGTCACATTAATAACAGTCCTTGTTCCTGATAACCAGACGGGAAGAGATTCAGGAGCTCGCCTCCCCTCTGCCTGCGAGGTTGCTCCCATTACAGCTCACGCAATTCATGCAGAGTCTTAAAACTCTTGAGCTCCTCAGCAAACCAATCTATCACCCCAGCAGCTTCAGAGATCGGGGAAGCAGAACCTCACTTCCCAGTCCTCCCCGTTGTCCCGAGCACATTCACCTCTCCAGCCCCACACAACCCAGGATGGAAGATCAAAGCACCATGTAGATTGACTACAGCAAGCGGACTTACTTAGGATAATAGTTACCGTCTTGACAAGGCTGATCATGGTCTCCTTGTAGCGGGGATGGAAGCTAGTGTGCTTGGACATCCGTGTCATCTTCCTTTTGACATAGATGAAGATATGCGTGTACACAACCACCATGATCAGGAAGATGACCAGGTTGGAGATGGCCCAGAAGGTCAGGTAGCTCCTGCTGTAGAGCGGTGCCATGCTGGAGCACTTCTCCAGGGCACAAAGGCAGTGCCAGCCATAGGACGGGATAAGCCCCAGAAGCAGGGCCGTGACCCAGATACAGAAGATGAGGATCATCACACGCTGGTTGGACATTTTGCTGTGTAACTGCATAGTGAAAACAGTCTGGTGCCTTTCTACAGCAATTGCCAGCAGGTTCACCACAGAGGCTGTCAAGCTGGTGTCCAGCAGGCTCTGGCGGATGAACCAGGTCTTCAAGGAGAGCTCTGCTGTCCTGGGCCCCGTGTGGAACATGAGAAACATGTACGCGATGCCAGCAAACAGATCAGCAGCCGCCAAGTTCCCCAACAGGTAGTAGATGGGGTAGTGGAAACGCCGGTTGATGATGATAGCGGTGATGACCAGCAGGTTGGTCAGGAGCACAATGACGCTCACTGTCAGGCCCAAGGCAACCACTAGGACATCCTTCGTCCTCCAGTACGTGGTCAGTTCTTTGCGGCTGTTGTTGTAGAAGAACCCCACAGTCTCATTGTAAAAACAGTGCTTCATTGCTGCTGTCCTAAAGAGGGATGAGAGTATCATTAGCTTGTTGTGCCCACACACACACAACTATGACAAGCCAGCGAGATTCTGAGCATTACGACAATGCCTTTGACACGGATGGAGGTGGGGAGAAGCTTGAAACACACGGAAACCACCACAGAAGCAGCAGGAAACCACTTCTGTACTTGAGACAGAACTACACATCTCACAGGCTGAGTCCTCATCTGTCCTCAAATCCAGATTGAGGATGCAGCAAAGCCTTGAACATTCATGGGAGGAGATAATGTTTGCCAGATCTGATAAGAGATTCTCCCTATCTGGCCCACGCAGCTTCATGGGGATGACAGACAAAACTATTTTTGTTGTCCCAGATGTCCTACTTCAGAAATGTAAAAACAAAGCAGCAGCAAAGAAGGTTTATCAGTCAATCACTAAACAACACTCTGACAAAGACTATGAGCCTTTGCAGCTGTTGCAGTCCCCAGGACTGCTGCTTCTGGTTCAGTGAACGCACATATCTCATCTTTCCTGGGTAGTTTTATTGCTTAAAGGCTAATGTAATGCACAGCTACTTCCAAACACTGCTCTATGCACAGCACTTGCTGATCATTCCAAAACAGGTGAGTACTTCCCAAATTTTGCCAAAAAGCAAAGAGCACATAGAGCTGCGCAGAAACAAACTCCTCAGCCCAGAAAAGTAAACAGTAGCAAGAAGTCAGCACATACAACCATGGGCTGGATCTCTGCAAGAGCTGGATCATCTGGAACCCCTGCAGCACTTCTACACTACACAACAGCACGGGGGTCATCACCCCATGCTCCAGGGTGTTGACCAGTAAGTCATCTGTGCAACGAGGGAAGCAACTCCCTTCTTCCCTTCCAGGTCTGGGACAAGGCTGCAATTTAAAACTCATTGAACTTGGTGGATTGATAGGAAAAGTTGTTTAAGTGTCAAGAATGGCTTTTCACATTTCTTTGACACACTGGGCACCGCTGGGAACAAGACTAGACAAGCCATTCGTCTGGATCATAACCTTAAAATCTTAATTTTCAAAGCCCATATACCTCTCTGGTAATTAACTTCCTGTCCGGAGGACAGCCAAACATGAAGCAGCAGGTTAAGTTAAAGGATTTTTTACCTTACAGAGTCAGAATTTAAACCCAGTAATTGACACTTGCGTTACTTGTCCATGCAAAAACACAGCACCATGAACAAACCCCGAGGGATGAGAAGCCCAATCGTTACACCCCACAGCAGATGTTCCTGTTCCTTTCCTAACCAAGAGCTTGGAAATCTCAAGTCAGGGTTGGCTGCCGTCCCCACTGGGATGGGCAAACACAGTTTGGAGCCTCCTTCCTTGCTGCACTGAGGTGCTGAAAAATGACACAGTTTTTCCTTACCCTGGTGCTCTGCACATGAAGTCACTGGTTCTCCCTGCCCTCTCATGAGCCCAGCCATCATCCTCATTTTAGAGAAAGCCTAATGCAGATCACACAGCAAAAGCACAGTTCTCTGGACAGGGAGAAGATGCAAAAGTGCCCGACTCACAATTCACTTTAATCATCCCCGAAACCGAAAGACAGCTCAGCGGCCCCAGTTAGTTGCATGTTCCTCCACTTTCTGGCCAGCAGAGTTTTCCAGCACACTGCAGCAGGAGCTCTTGGCGAAGCAGCAAGGCTGCTGTTCGTAGCAGGGAGGAGAGATCATAGCAGGCAGGCCAGCATATTATCACCTGCACTGCACCCACGCCGAGTTACGCAAACAAGATGGCCGAGCCAGGAAATCGCATTGTACCTGCGGCTGAACTTCTGATCTCCGCTGCCTGATGGGCTCTGTACCAGCCTGCTTTGGCATATGCTGTCTTTACCACAAGACAAGAAAGCTAAACTGAACTAATTTACTTTAAAATCTGCTGATGAAGATACTATTTTTACAAATACTGGTGGGGAAAAAAGGAAGAGGAGGCAGATGAGAACTCAGCCCACCCCAGAGGAGGAAGTCATGGGCTAGTACTGTATAACAAGTCCATCTGTCCTCTCTTTTCAGGTCACGGGATGTTTGTAGATCTCAAGCCGTAGAGCTCTTCAGGAGTCGTGTGGTCCAAAGGCAGCACAGGAGGCGAAAGCAACCAAGTGGGTCCTGCAGAGATACCACAGGGCCACTCAGCAGGTACCCAGGGAGCACTTTGGCTTGAACAGCAGAAAGCGATGGAAGAATGAGGAAGGGAGGAAAGCCTAGGAACAGGACGAACACAACCGCTGTGAATCACAGGTAGGTGGATGACCACCTGCATAGGGTGTATCTGGGGAGGCACCAAATCCAAGGCTACGCCATTCTTATGCAAAAGAGTTCCCTCAACATTTTTGAAAGCTTTAATCCCAAATCAAAAAGGAAATTGCTGCTTAAGTTCGGCAAGTCACTTCACCTTTGTAAGACTACACATGTGGATGCCCAGGGAAGAAAGTGGGGGGAAGGAGAGAGGCTGAAGTGGCATCGTGGTTCAGAGCACTCCGTACACTGTCCAGCCACGTGAACGAGCATGTATCAAATGCCATTATAATCCCATTCACATTTTTGCTGTGGAGTAACGTGTTATGAATTTTATCTAATACAATGAAGATTATAATGGAACAGAAATTTGCCTGTGCACAGTGCAGGACAAAGACAACTCGCACCATGCTTTAATTTTTAAGAAACATTAAAATATTACAGTGAAATAGCATGTTGACACATGTCTTATTCTCAGTAACTTTTGAGCTGACACCAAGATAAATTAAATCCAGATAAGACTAGCTTTAAAATTTCCACTGTTATGGAGACCAATCTTATTTTGTTGCAAATATTAAAGATTGCACAGCTATGACAGGTCCCATAAACTTTAAGATCGCATGCTCACTGGCAAATTGTGAACTTTTTTTTCAAAGCATTATACAAGTACTCGTTCAATGACATGTTTACTGGGGGAGGGGATTAGGGCTGTGTAAACCCACAAAGGAGCTGTGTTCTGCATGTGTAATACTCAAATCTGGAGAAAGGGTCCCTCAGCATTAATCCTACATACGAAATGCTTCTTTAGGCAAGACCCAGTTAGAGCCCAGGGAGAAGTTGGAGAGGTGCAAATCCCTCCAAGATGTGCGTAGGTTAAACTAAAGCTCTGCAATACTGTGAGCTGGGCGGGGTCCAGGACTGACAGGTTAATGCTTGTGACTGGTCTTAGGAGCTTAAGTGCCACTCCACTGCCACCCTGCAATTAGAAAACTGACCTTGGAACTTGGCATCAAGGGCAGTCAACGCCACAAATCAAAATTTAACAGGAAGCGAAACACCCAGCCCACAGCAGCAAGCAGATAGAAAGTCAGGCTGGTGCCATGATGCACAAAGGAGCTGGATGAATCTATTGTTCAGTGTCCGAGCAACCCCCTTCCATGGTCTTACACTCCTCAGCAGGATCTTACAAGATTTTTCCTTACCACCATTGTTTACTCGGTAAAACAAGACTCTAGTTACATGCTGCAACAATTCAGCAGCCCCTTCCCTTAGGCAATACGCAAACACAGACTCTTCTCTAATCATGCTACCTCAAACTCTGCTCAAGTCTCTCTCCCTTAGAATCAAGTACAGCTTTTGCAGTTCGGTAGGAACCACCATACAAAATGAGCGTGGAACGGGTCGTTTCTCATTGCCAGCGTTATCTGTACGCATACGCCATCTCCCTTCTTACTCGGTTAATTACTGCCCCAGGTTCACCGTAAGTTCAGGGTCCTTTTACAGAGAAAGTAAAGGTGTAAGTGTCTTCCCTTCTCCGTTTCCTCTTGCTTGCAAGAGTGGAAAACGCTAGTCAGCTCTGAGATCTGGGAAGACATTCAACACTTGTGAACAGACCCACAGCCAGCGCAGCGTGGAAGCAAACAGGGATGAATGGCTGAATTTATGCTCCCACCAATAACCAAAATCAGTGGTGATCAAGACAGAACAACGGATCTATAAAGGCTCACAGGCACTCAGATCCAGCCTGTTTTAATCTTGTCCACTGCACTCGGATTTACATGGCCGAACATTCAAACCACTGCTATATTTAAGCCATAAACAGTACAAGGTTTTACTCCAAAGAACAGCGTCCTTACCTGAAAGCACAGCCACGGCATCCAGACCTGACATTTAGCATTGGTCTCCCCACCACAGGAAACCAGGGCAGCTATCCAGCAAGGAGATCCCCATCTCTGGCGGGCAGAGGTGCTTTCCGAACAAGCCAGGCGCCTTACAGGAAAGTTTCAGACGAGCCTTACAGCCCCACAGTCCATCACAGAGCGCTCCGAAACACTGGCTCCTGGGAGGCAAGTTTGCAAAGAGCTCCGATGGGCCCGTCCCTCCTTGGGTCCTCCCCTAGGCGGGTCCTTCCAGGAGACCCAGGAGCTGTAACTCGAGTCCTTGCCGCCTTCATGGAGGCCAAAGCCACTTTCCAAGCACCTCCGGTTCGGACTGGAACGAGTTAGCTCCAATCCGCCAGCATCGCCCTCGCAGACCGTTCCTGCCGGCAAGGTGTTGCTCTGTGGGAACCGGCACCCTCTGGTCCCAACGCTCCCGCCACACCGGTTCGCCCCACAGCAAGGGTTTGCTCACGCTCGCCTGCTGCCCCACAGCCTTTGCCCCACGGCAGGAGGAGAGCAGATCTCCTTCCAAATGACCAGGTGCCATCCCATGATGGAGGAGCTGTCTTGCCTTGGCACCGAAGGCTGTTTGCCCAGTCTGCAACTACAGCACCCACATCTCACACGGACTGTCAGGTCAGGATCTGGCCCCGCACACCCACTACACCAGCCACACTTGCCCAGCGCAACGCAAGAAACGCTGAAACGGGTAAGAAGCAGGGAGATGATGTCATGGGACACGGGAAACTGAGGCACAGACTTGAAAGGATTTTCCTGCCGTAATTGGGAAAAGTCTGTGTCACTGCTAGAACGAGAGCTCACGTTTCTGATATGTCAGTCTAGCTAGTCCTTGACGCGTCAGAGATTATTTTACCTGCCAAGTACTGTACTGATACCAACAGCATACTTGGTGCTAACAAGCCATAGCTGTATAAATTATGAAGGAAAAAACCACCAAGTTCACAACATCCATTCACTTTGATTTATGCCTGCTGCTCTTGCAAAGGCCCCAGCAATTTCCATTCGACTCCAATTTCCTATTCTCCCACCCTCCTCCCACCATCATCTGTTCCCCAAGGAACAATGTTATCACCCAGCACAACCCTAATCTGCTGCCAGTCAGATACACCTTAGAGCTTGGCAGAGCCAAGCAGTGTTATGTAAAATAGCCAGGAGATTTACAAAGAGAGCCCAACACAAAGGGGAAAGAGATAGGGCCAAAGATCTGAGGACACATTAACAGAGCAGGGCAGCCAATAAAGGGAAGCAGAGCAGTAGTGACACTGGCAGAAAAGACGGATGAACAGGACAGGCTGCAATAGGAGAGGAGCAACTACCAGTCCTGCAAAAACAGAAAATTGTACCAGGCTCCCTACATTCAACCCTTACATCCTGTAGCCTCCAAAGGCCAAAAATCATGCTAGAAACATCACATGGGCTACAAAAACTCAGAAAGGACCTATCATTGCCACCTGCTTACAAGTTCTGCACCTCTAGACTGATGATGCCAGTCACAAGACAGTGCCCAGCACAGGGGCCTTTCACAAAATTTCCGTATGTGTTTTTAGAAGCAGCAAAAAGTTTCACTAACAAGGTCCTTTTTTGGGGGGTGGGGGGGAATAGTTTAACAAGCTTGCTTTCTCAGATCAGAGAACAACCAAGTTACCAAGAAGTCTGTTCCTAAGAGCCAGAAGTCCTTAGTGCAACCAGACAGATTTACAATATTATAGTTACAGGAAGTCATTTTAAGTTTGTAGCATCTTACTCAAGTGACACAGAGCAGATCCTTCACCTTCCCATGAGGCATTTATTACCCTTTTGGTTACATTATTAGTTTAAGACCAAAGGGCCCCAACTCCACGCTGCAATAAAACAGCCCCCCCATTTCCCCAGCCCACCCTTGTGCTGCCAGCACAAGTTTAGGTCACTGATCCGACTCTCCACACCGGTGTGCAAGAAGCAGAACCCAGGTCAGAGCAACCATTTGGCAGCAGCACTAGCTTCGATAGGCTTCAGACAGTTATGAAGCCACACGTGCTCTGCAGCCGTGTCTTCGGGATGGCAGCAGTCTAAAAATACTTTTGATTTACTCGTTCCTTTAAGGTTTCAAACTGGCACTCGGCAAGTGCTTTAGAGGCAACGTTTTCATAAAGGAAACACCCAGAGCAATCAGGAAAACAGCCCAGCATAACTGGTTTCAACTGAAGTGTCAACAGTCCATGACAATAGCTCAGCACGTCAGACAGACCCAGCAAGTTTGGAGCACCCAGTGCTGCCAAAGGGTCAGGAGCACTTTGGCAACTCAGTCCACACACACCAGAGCCAGGACAAAGGGGGATACAGGAAATGTCAGACTGCACCAGGCCGGGGCTCAGCCTGTCACAAACGGTATCTGCTTGCATACAGAGGTGAGAGAATATTTCAGGTTTCAAAATCCTGACCTTAATCACAGCAATTTTTCTGGTCCCTTTGTCTAGAAAAACCTAACTTGACTTCTCTGCATCACACAAGTCTGGGAGCCTGTTTATTTTCAAGTTTCAGGTATATTTGAAGGACCCAAGACCCATTTAGTTCATCTCTCCAGCCATACCATACGCATGAGTTCGGGCCCAGCACACCCTTTCAGGGTGCTACCTGCAAAACCAAAAAACATTGCACCCGAAAACCTCACATCAGCTTTTGCAACCACGTAATGATTTCTTAAAGACTGAGCTCAGATATCTTCCAACAATGATACTTTGGGGATTGAGTACCAAACACAGGCAAGACCAAACACCCATTGTGTCCAGCCCCTCTTCTCTCCCCTTCCCCTCCAACCACTCTGTGACTTTTTTCCCCATTTCCAACAGTTTAGAAGGGGCTTGTAGGGTGTTGCGCAGCAATGTTCCCCCCCAGCAGAAAGGCTATTCAGAGTCACAAAGTAACCCGATCTTGATGCAGCCCGCAGATCTGATCGCATTCTGGTGCCCAGCAGATAATTGGTAGAGAAACATTTCCAAAGACAACAGATGTCTGCCTCCCCTTTATTACACTTCTGTTTTTCAAAGTGAAGTTAATTGTTTTAGTAGATTTTGCATTTTCAAACAAGCCTAAAGACAATATTTTTCTTTAAGCCTCATAGCTGTGGTTGTTCCTGTGGATGACAAATCTGAAGGGTTTGTGGGGGTTTTTTTTTTCTTTTCCTGAGACCCCTCTCCTGGAATCCCAGGAATGTTAAAAACCTTCTGGAAGGAGTCATGTCATCATCTCCCTCCCAGCAGACCTCTGCAGACAACCAGTTGCTCAAATTAATACTTCCAAAGTCCCAACTGGCCCAGATATTCCCAAACCCTCAGTGAGGAGCACTCCCTCGAGTACCACAAAACAACAACACCGTTCTTACAACTTCAGCTAAGAGCCAAAGCATTCGATGGAAAGCAGCATATACATCAGCGTTAAAAATGCAGGAATTTCATAACACCCACTGCTGCTGAAATGCAGCCAACTCTGAGGTGGAGCGGAGTTGTTGTTTGCAAGCCTACAGCATCAAAGAATACTTTTCAACAAAGAGGTAGGGAAGAAATCTGTGCCCACTGCTGCCTTGCCTACAACAGGAATTTTCTTTTCCTCCAACAAGTTAGCAACCATTTACAATCAATTACTCTGGAACAAATCACAAAGAACCTGGAAAATTCCTTTTCCCCTGTCACCTTCCCCAGGTTTCCTCTGGCTTCATTTGGACACTTAGAATTAAAGCATTTCCGTGTTGTAGACATCACCTGAAATTGAAGTGGGGAGGCCACCGAAGCAAAACATGACATTGGCTCTTGTGACCTTCGCCTTGTTAGGCAAGACGGAAAAACAGCTGAGAGAATGGCCAGGATATTCCCTGGAACGCATCAGGGTCCTGGCAAAACAACACTCTTACCTTCCCCAGGTAACTATCCTGGAAACAGGTTTTGGTGGGCTAACTTCCCTCTGCACAATTACTGGCTATTCCAGCACTCTCCAAGATGAAAACATTTGTTCTATGGCAGTGGAGAGAAAACAGGGGAGGGGAGGGAAGAGAGGGTTATTTGCAGTGGTGTTTTGTTTGGAGTCAGGATGGTCTAGGGGCCCCTCTGCTGCTGCTCCTCCTAATTCACACAGGAAGGAGGAGATTATCCTGCACAGAGACAAGCCATACTGGAGGCAGGAGCAGCAGTTCGGAGAAAGTGTAGCTTGGCCCCGAGTGATGTCACATTATTAGAAGCCACAGCAAGGTTAAAATCAAGTCGGGATGCTGTGTTTACGAAGCAGGACTCAGCCTCATCTTCACCCAAAGATAATTTCATCTGGCACTTTGCGCTATTGTCAATAAAAACAAAACCGGGTGGAAATTCCCTTCCTGTGAACCACATGCAGGCAGCCCTCAGCTCAGTCTCCGTTTGCAAGAAGGCTGCACGCTGCCTTGCTCTGAACTCCTCTGATCTTGGCTGGCACCCAGCAAGATGAAGTCTCCCTGTTTCGTTGGCACTCGCTGGAAAGTCAGGGAACTTTACAGTCACTCAAGCTCCGCATGCCTCAGCCTTTGCTTTTATAGGGATTATTTCTGAAAACCCACTTCCCCCGTGTCTCCATTTGGTTTAATGTCAGATGCCTGCAGCTTATGGCTGGAGAGTCATAAAAAGCATTTAACATGCCTTTCTGCTTAAGTCTAGAAAGAAAAAACAAAACCAATTCAGAAAAGCCTCCAGCTACAGAATAAGCAGATGCAGCACAACTGTAGCTTTACCTTGAACAAGAGCATCAGGGGCTGACACACAGCTACTCTCCCCGAGCAAGAAAAGGGAGTATCTGTCTCTTCAGAGAAATGCAGCTTCCTCCAGAGAGTTAGCCTCTGGGGCAGTCTTAGTCAAGCAAAATTCTCAGCAATATGGCTTTTTCCCCAGTTAGGTGAAGATTTCAGCTCACTCCAGGGATGTTTCATTATGCTCACAACTGCTTCACCAACAAACTGAATCATGTTAGCAAGTCTTGCATTTTTTCTCAACAATCA